CCTGCTAAAATGGCACTGATCAAACAAACAGAAAACAACAAATGCCGGTGAGGATGTGGGGAGATTGAAACCCTTATCCACTGCTGCAGGGACTGTAAAATGGTACAACCATTATGGAAAACAGTATGGCGCTTCGTCAAAAAACTAGAAATAGAACTACCTTATGATCCAGCAATCCCATTCCTAGGTATATACCCTAGAGACTTAAAGGAAATGACACAAACAGACATATGCAAACCTACGTTCATTGCAGCACTATTCCCAATAGCAAAAAGATGGAAACAACCTACGTGCCTGTTATGGATTGAATTGTGTCCCCCCAAAATGTGTATCAACTTGGCTAGGACATGAGTCCCAGTATGGTGTGGTTATCCACCATTTTGGGATCTGATGTAATTTTCCTATGTGTTGTAAATTCTAATCTCTGCCTGTGGTTAATGAGACAAGCTTAAATTATGTTAAAGAGGATTAGGGAGAGATGTAACAACCTTAGTCAGGTCACAGCTCTGATCCTATGTAAGGGGAGTTTCCCTGGGGTGTGACCTGTATCATCTTTTATTTTACAAGAGATAAAACGAGAGAGAAGCAAGCAGAGAGAGAGAGACCTCATTGCAACCACGCAAAAAGAGCCAGGAGCAGAATAGGTTCTGTGGACTTGGGGTCCCTGAGCTGAGAAGCTCTTAGACCAGGGGAAGATTGATGACAAGGACCTTCCCCCAGTGCTGACAGAGAAAGCTTTCCCCTGGAGCTGGCACCCTGAATTTGGACTTCTAGCCCCCTAAACTGTGAGAGAATAAATCTGTCTTTGTTGAAGCCACCCACTTGTGGTATTCCTATTATAGCAGCACTAGGTAAGTAAGACAGTGCCCATCAACAGATGAAAGAATAAGCCAAATATGGTACATACACACAATGGAATATGATGCAACCATAAAGAATAATGGTAAGTCCTCAAAACATATTTTAACATGGATGAATCTGGAGGACATTATGATGAATGAAATAAGCACAAAAAGACAAATACTGTACGATCCCACTTTTATAAAAAGACAAAAATATGTATGCATACAGAAACCAACGTTCATTGGTGGTTACAAGGGATGGTTGGGTAGGGGAGGGGAAGTCTCTCTTTAGGTAATAAAACCAAAAAACCCCTTGCCATCGAGTCGATTCTGACTCATAGCGACCCTATAGGAGAGAACAGAATTGCCCTGTAGGGTTTCCAAGCAGTGGCTGGTGGAAACGAACTACCGACCTTTTGGTTAGCAGCCACAGCTCTTAACCACTGTGCCACCCGAGTTCCCTTTAGATAACACACACCTGTTATTTTGGTGATGGGAAAGGTGTCACTGAATGTGGGTAAAGTGCACACAGCTCGACCAAGCTAAATGATGTCACTAAGAAGTACAAACACACACATACACACACACACACACACACAAGGATTTTTTTAGTAAATGCTAGGACATATATAATTTTGCAACAACAACCAAAAAATATATGTGTGATTACATTATGTATGCATATATGCTTATAGGTATGTATATGTGTATGTATATACATGTGCATATATACATGTAGCTATGTGTATGTGTATATATGTGTGTGTGTGCATGAATGTATATTCATACATATAGTAAAGTACATACGGGGCACAGTTATGGGTACTTCTTAGACACAACCAAACACCTCACAGGATTGGTTTTCTGGGTTTGAAGCCTTGGGACCACAGTCTTGTGGGACAACTTGGTCAATAGGCATAATACAGTTTACAAAGTTTATATTCTACATTCTAGTTTGGTGAGCAACATCTGGAATCTTAAAAGCTTGCAAGCAACTCTAAGATATAACCATCAGTCTCTTCCCATCCAGAGCTAAAGAGAAAGAAGGAAACCAAAGACTGAGAGAAGAAACTAGTCTTCAGGACCAACAGTCTACACAAACCATGGCCTCATCTCCCTGAGACCAGAAGAACTAGATGGTGCCCGGCTACCACTAACAACCATTTTGATCAGGGCCACAATAGATGGATCCTGATACAAGAGGAGAAAAATGTGAAACAGAACTCAAATTCTTAAAAAGACCAGACTTACTGGACTGGTTGAGACTAGAGTACTCCCTGAGACTATTGCCCTGAGATACTCTATAAACCTTGAACCAAAATTACCCCCTGAGGTTACCTTTTAGCTAAATAACTGACTGGCTGATAAAATAAAGAATATTACCAATGAGTACTACACATTTTTAAAACATCATCTATGTGAGACCAAATGACCAACAGTTACTCTAAAGCAAAGATGGAAGGGTAAGGGGACAGAGAACCCAGATTACTAGATGCAAAACATCCAGAAGGGAATTAATGAGAACGTTAAAACATGAAAAATGTAACCTATGTCAAAGATTAGTCCAAAGGACTAATGGACCACAGCTACCACAGCCTCCACCAGACTGAGTCCAGTAAGCTAGATGGTACCCAGCTACCACCACTGACTACTCTGACCAGGATCACAACAGAGGTTCCCGGACAGAGTTGGAGAAGGATGTAGAACAAAATTCTAACTCACAAAAAAACACCAGATTTACTGGCCTGACAGCCTGGAGAAAGCCCGAGAGTATGGCCCCCGGATACCCTTTTATCTCAGTGGTTAAGTTGCTCCCGAGGTTCACCGTTCAGCCAAAGATTAGGTAGCCCCATAAAACTAAATGGGACTGATGAGGCACAGCAGTCCAGGGACAAGGACTAGAAGGCAGGAGGGGACAGGAAAACTGGTGATAGGGAACCCAAGGTTGAGAAGGGACAGTGTTGACATGTCATGGGGTTGTTAACCATTGTCATAGGGCAATATGTGTACTAACTGTTTAATGAGAAACTATTTGTTCTGTAAACCTCCATCTAAAGTACAAAAAAAAAAAAAAGAATTATCTATGTGAGATCAAATTGACAACAGCAACTCTAAAGGTTTGATGGGAAGCCTAGGGGACAGTGAGTTGAAGATAATGGTGATGGAATAATTTGGAAAAGGATAGTGAGAATAGCAGCACAACTGGAAGAACGTAATCGATGTCACTGAATTGTACATGTAGAAATTTTTGAAATGGTGTATCTTTGGCTATGTATATTTTCACCAAAAAAAAAAAAAGGTCTTCCAAGGTTGAGAAGAGAGAGTGTTAACATGTCGTGGGGTTGTTAACCAATGTCATAAAACAATATGTGTACTGACTGTTTAATGAGAAACTATTTGTTCTGTAAACCTTCATCTAAAGTACAATAAAAAAAAAACGTAACCTATGTCTCTGAACAATCTGTGTAGTAACTGTTAAATGGGAACCTAATTTGCTGTGTAAACATCACTGAACACACAATAAAATATTATTTAAAAAACAAACAAAAAACCTTCATGACCTTTCTTGATCTGTATTAATCCACCCACTATATGAATGAGGAAGACTTAATAATAACAATACTATGATCTATCACGAATTGAGCCCTTACTAAGGTCCAGGCTCATTCTAAGCACTTTACATATAAAACCAGTTGCCGTCGAGTTGACTCCGACTTATGGCGACCTCATGTATGTCAGAGTAGAACTGTGCTCCGTAGGGTTTTTGAGAGCTGATTTTTCGGAAGTAGATTGCTACGCCTTTCTTCCAAGGTACCTTTGGGTGGACTCGAACTTGCAACCTTTCAGTTAGCAGCTGAGCTCTTTAACCATTTGCAGCACCCAGGAACTCTACTTTACATGTAATAACTCATTTAATTCTCATGACACCTCCATGAGAAGAGACTATTATTAGCCCCGTGTTGCAGATGAGGAGACTGTGGCACAAAGAGGTAAATTTCTCAAGGTCACACAGCTAAGAAGTGCTAGAGCTGGGATTCAAACCTGGACAGCCCTGCTCCAGAGTCCATGCTCTTAACCACTGTGCTCATACTGCCCCCCATGTGAACACAACTCTGCTTTACGTTTATTGCAGAGCAAAAAAAAAAAAAACCCAAATGAGTACCCGAGTTTCTAAAAATATAATATTCTAAATCATTAAAATCCAACATTTACAGGATATTAAAACCTCTCTCCAACAAGGAAATCGGCATGTTCTAGGAGACAACAATGGTAAAGCTGCCATTGGCCCTGTAAACCTTCCAGGTCAGAGTGTAAGGGCTTCCAGAACAGTCTTAGAAATGTGGCTCACAGGGTAATGGCTTATGGTCAAACTGCCTTTTGATCTCTCATGTGAAAAATATGTACTTACATATATCGCAGGAAACCTCACCACTTCCTTCCTAAGTGTCGGTCAAAACCACTAATTACTTGACTAATTAAACTGTGAAACTTCCCTCACAGATGGCAAAAATGAGCTATTTTCACCCCACAAATTTAGTTGTGACATACCACCAAAAAAATGTAGAAATGTTTCAATGATTTCATTGTAGACAGCATGAACAATTTAAACAAATCATATAAAAATAAATTACAAACTAATGAAAATAATCTGTTCTCTCATAAGGGGGGAAATAACCCAATTCTGTAGGAATGAAGAGTTAATGAAGGAGTCGGCTGACGAATAACGTCACTCTGGCAGGGCGTGAAGGCCGAGCCCCAGATACCTTCTCCGTGAAGTGGGACATCCCAAATAAGTCAGTCCGTCTGCACCTGGTTTGTGATTTTCCGGTACTTTCTTTTCATTCTGCTTGTAGTCAGAGGCTGCAGCAGCACTGTCCCCCTGGTTTTCCCATGGATATTCCCTATAGGGGAAAGTATCTGTCACGCTCACCTCCCCGTAGCTCTGCGTTTGCAATAATTCAGACGGCTGCATCAGCACATGGGCCAGAAGAATTAGTACTGAGCAAAATGGAATCTAATACCAAGTTCTGTGGTCCTGGGAGGAAATGTCTGTCTGACTAGTGTGTGCTGCCTGCAGAGAAAGGCTATTGAGCTCTCAGTCCAGGAACCTCCATCCCATGTCTGCTGAGGGAAGCTGGGACAACAGCAGACACTCACCAGCGTTGAGACTACCAGTGGCTGCCGTCCAGCCCATCATGGGCGGGATGGCCCCAACCACGGCTCCGACCCACGTGTTGGCAATGCTGATCCTCTTCAGCGGTGTATAACAGCAAGTATACAGGAAAATGTTGAAGGCCCCCAGGGCCCCCGTGAGTGGATTCACTCCCCAGGCCAGCACGGCCACTCCTGGAACAGCACAGCAAGTGGCAAAGGACACGGCGAACAATGGACTGGAAAAGAACAGAGAAGACAGAGCAGTCATTTCCAACTCAAGTTCACCACGCTGCCTGGAATTGGCGCTGACCGAGAGCGGGCGATTGACCTCCACACTGGGGCACTCTGGAAGGAGGTGCTGGCTGGGCCCCTACCTCGTTGTGGCGAATCCTCCTTACAAAGCTTAAAATAACAAGGGGTTGTGTTTGCAGGAGCCCTGGTTGCTCCACTTGATTTTGCCAGCTGGGAATAAAGTAGTTGAGAGTTGAGGTCTGAGAGCCCCTGGATTTGAACACAGGTACTTCCTGGCTGTACAATGTCTGGGCTTCACTGTACTCACCTGTATAGGAAAGATGATTATCTCTTCCTCAGAGGGTTTAGGTGAAGACAAATGAGATGATCTCCCCATACATTTTGCACTGCTCTGTTCTATGAAACTAGTTGTGATTGAGTGGACTCCGACTCATGGTGACCCCATGTGTGTCAGAGTAGAACTGAGCTCTATAGAGTTGTCAGTAGCTGATTTATCAGAAGTAGATCAGCAGGTCTTTCTTCTCAAGTGCCACTGGGTGGACTCAAACATGCAGCCTTTTGGTTAGCAGCTGAGTGCACTAATTGTCTGCACCACCCAGGGGCTCCTAAACCACACAGGGCACAAGACTGAAAAATTTGGACAAAAAAGAGAAGTATCTCAGTTCTGGAAGCAGTTCTACTGTTTTATGCTTTATTTAAAAATACCACCTAAATTCGTAATGATTAAGAAAAATAACGTGCCTCAGTGAGTGTCATCATCACAACATCTCTAAGACACTGAAGACGCGGCATGGTGCCAGTTAGCCCCTGACAGCACCAACAGTAAACACCAGGGGCTGATCAGCGGGAACAGCACAATTCCAGTTCAGTTTTGTTCATTAACTTGGTTTAAGCACATGGAATTTCCAAGAGAAGCACAATAGTGCTATATGTTTAAATTAAATATCAAATAAAACTCTACAATGTTAATGACAATTATAAGCTTGATGCTCAGAAGTCTACTTTTCAAAGCAGCCTTTGTGTGGCATCTTGTGAAAGACTTCTTGAGTCTCGATAAATTGGATCTACTAGTTCCTGCTTATATTCATGTTTATTTATTCTTTCTAAAGAAACACAGGATATTACTCAAGCCTGCTTTCTCCTTAGAGAGACCATAATACCTTCTCTGAGTAAACTGTCTGCAGTGTTGGGTATCCTCTCCTAACTAAAGACTGTACAGCATGCTCAGTGGGAGGCCAGAGTCACCAGTGTGCAGCTTCCTGGGTACTCTGGTCGTTTTCCCTGAGGGAAAACAGGGCTGCAGTGTTCACACGCAGGAGAGAAGCCCTGTGTCTATGAAGCTGCCCCTTCAGGAAAAGGAGCAAGATGTAAAATTAAGACAAGTTAGAACTCAGTCAGAGTCCTTGGGTGGTGTAAACAATTAACACGCTTGGCTGTTAACCCAAAGGTTGGAGGTTCAGGTTTATCCAGAGGCACCTCTGAAGAAAGGCCTGTGATCTACTTCTGATAAATCAGCCATTGAGAACCCTATGGGGCATAGTTCTACTCTGACACACATCGGGTCGCCACAAGTCAGAGCTGACATGATGACAACTGATAAAACTGGTAGAACTCAGCCAGGACTGGGGACAGGGGACTGGAGAGCCCACCAGCTGAAAATACCAACCCAAGGGCAAAAGAACCTGAAAGCTGGAAGTGACTTGATAGAGAGGGTAGGCTCCCACTGACACGGTGACCAGCACTGACTACTCCCAGGACTGTGATCACTCAGTCTGGAAGATGGAACCCAAAAGAATAGGAGTTCTGATGGAAAAGACAACATACAAGGGATATGATGTTGTCAAGATGCTGTCACAGAGATCTGTGAAAAACGCCTATGAGACTTCTCAGTGAACGTTCAACCCTGACTGTGAATTTCACCCCTCTGTTCCTTGGCTACCTCTTATCAGCCCCAGGGTCAATGACTTCCATAGCACCCCTTCTGTACCCTCAGTCTTTTTTCCCGCCTGTCTTTCCATCATTCCCAGCCTGACAATCCCCATTTCTGAATCCACTGTCTCTGCTCCTGCTGGAGGAAGCCCTACAAACATACCACCTAGCCCCCTTTCAAGAGGATGGCTTACCAGTGTTGGTGCTTGGCCAAGCGGGTTTCCTTCCTCACTCCTCATAGCGACTGTTTTCACTCCTCACCTACCACCCTCAACAGATGTCCTTCCCTCTTACAGACAGTGAGAATGTCCTCATCTTACCTCCCTGCCTTCTTCCCACTTCAAGGGAAGAAGTCATCTTTGTTTTCAAGATAAACTCTCCACTGCTGCTCTTAATTTTATCTCCTCCCTGATCTGTTCGTTATCTTCCATGTCCATTGCGTGTTGACCTATTGCATCCCCAGATAAACTATTCTGTTCCTATTTCCCCCAAGGAACCATCCCTTCTTGCTCCTACACTCTTCAAAGCCAAACATCCTGATGGAGTAGACTAAATGTATTGTCTCTAGTTCCTCAGTTTCCTATTTGCTCCTCAGCTCCATCCCTCACCACCTTACTGAAACAGATTTCTTTAATGTAGTGATGTCCCTGGGACCTGGAATCATGATGGCTGGGGCCAACTAGCTTTTCAGTATAGCACACAGTATGATTTTCCAGATGAAAGATTAAGAAGATGTTTCTGTGTTGCTTCACCTCACATATGCTCAGGAAGAACAATTTAGATGGCTAAAAAGCAGTTGAAATATTATTACTGTTGTTCTTCTATTCAATAAGGTAGTTTATAGCTTATAAGAACAGACTTCCCCCCACCTCCATGGGACTCTAAAAAGCAGTTTTATTTTGGGTGGGAGAAAAATGTGGCTCATAAACATTTTTATTTTTCCTGAATTGTGTAAGAAAAGGCTGTTCACTCCTTCTCCAAGGTCTGTGGATGCCAGTTTGTTCAAAGGTATTAATGTTATGAAAAGCCCTTTTAGAAAAGCACACATGAATTTAATTTATTGAGATGGACAATTTTACGTGGAAGTTTAGTTTCTGACCCTTGTCAGACTCACAGAAAATCATGAGGTTCACGTTTGGTGTTTAAGTCCATGTGCTCAGGGGCATGAATGAAAATTGGGTAGCCTGACAAGCCACATAAACAAAACCAAGGGTATTTATCCAGGTAGCCGTGATTGCTCTCAGCACCTGAAGGAACCCATTTCCCTGTGGTACAAGGAACCCTGAGTCAGCAGATTGCTGGGCTTTCTCAGGGTTCCAGTAAAGGTGTGCCAAATGCAAACTGTGTGATGTTTTCTTTTTCTTAAAATAGTTTATATAAAAGTAATGTATGTTCATTTCAGAAACTTTGGAAACGACAATCACAAAGAGAAATTCCATATTAGTTATTCAGAGAAACATACTGGTTTATATCTTTCTAGTCTTCTTCTAACGCATACGTGTTGTTGTTGCATGCCACTGAGTCGATGCCGACTCACAGCGAGCCTATATGACAGAGCAGAACTGCTCCATAGGGTTTACTATGCTTCTTCACGGAAGCAGATCGCCAGGTCTCTTCTCCTGCAGAGCCACTAGTGGTTTCAGACTCCCGACCTTTTGGTTAGCAGCTGAGTGCTGAACCACGGCACCACCAGGGCTCCTGAATGCATACATAACTGGGAACATATTGAGTTATGGCTGTTACCTGCTTTATTTCACTTTACCTTGATCATTTCCCCCAAGTCATTAAGTATTCTTTTACATCAGCATTATTTATTGGCTGTATGTAGCCTGTTCTGTGAATGTGCCATGGTTAATTCAATCAATATATCTTTTGCGACATTTAGTATTTTTCCAATTTTTTTATTAGAAATAATGTTGGGATGAACTATTTTATAGATAGATCTTTGTCCACAGCTACACTTAGTGTCCGAGGATAAATTCCTAGAAGTGAAATTGCTAAGTCAGATCTGATAGCACGGGCTTTAAGGATTTTGTTAAGTCCTGCCAATCTGTCCTCCTGAGCACTGACACTAGTTTATATTCCCATCAGAGGCCCTGGAGGTGCAGTGGTTAAGAGCTTGGCTGCTAACAAAAATGTTGGCAGTTTGAATCCACCAGCTGCTTCTTGGAAACCCTATTAGGGCAGTTCTACTCTGTCCTATAGGGTCACTATGAGCTGGAATCGACCAGAAGGCAATTTTTTTTTTTTTTTTTTAACACTCCCATCAGCCGGTATATGGGAGAGCCTGCTTCCTGAGCCAACCTTCACCACACCCTGTACTGGTAGCAGTGCTGGCTAGGGCATTAAAACCAAAGCAAAACAAAAACAAAACTTCACCGATGAGATAGATAAAAAATGGTATTATGTGTGAGCTTCTTAAAAGACGTCAACAATGGAGTGAAGCCAGTTTATTGAGTTAGTACAAAAAACACCCATTGCCATCGAGTCCATTCCAACTCCAAGCAACCAGAAACCCTATAGGACAGAGTAGAACTGCCCCACAGGGTTTCCAAGGCTGTAAATCTTTACAGAAGCAGACTGCCACATCTGTCTCCTGCAGAGAGGCTGGTGAGTTCAAACCGCTGACCTTTCAGTTAGCAGCCAAGCGCTTAATCACTGCACCCCCAGGGCTCCTCAGGTGGATAGTATCCTCCGCATTTACAAATGAGAGGCTCAGTCTTGATACGGGTTAGATAACTTAGAAACAGGACCTGTACTCAGGTTTATTGTTGGGTCATTTAATCCAGAGCTTCCTAACCGGTGGGTGGGGGCATACCAGTGTAGTGTGACATGCCAATCCTCTAATTGTTTGTGTTGCTGAGGGCCTGGGTGGCTGGAGTCTTTTAGGCTGGTCACCTTCAGCTCAGAGCGGCCTCCTGCAGGCTCAAAAGCTCTTTCGGTTTATCCCATTGTAAAAATAGCCTCAATGTCTATTCTACTCCTGAGATGAAAATGATTGGGAAGCACTAAATTAAAAAAAAAGTATACATGTTGAGCACTTAGTACATGCCTG